TTGGGTAGCTTGGTTGTGCAGGAGGCAGGGAGACAAGTAACCAGATGTGGGTTCCTGTTTAAGGAAATGACCCTTTGATTTTCAGTCAAGAATTATTCTTTTGTTATAGGGCTTGGAGAAAGCAAATTGGTACTGACTGGAAGCCTCCTCCCTGACAGCTAGATTTCAAAATGTTGGAGGGTGCTGTGCAAAGTGCCGGGGGTAAGGGACAGTTATCAACAGTCCTACCCAGATGTAAGTCCTGCAAATTACAACAACAGCTGGTTGGGCCATGGTGGCACTAATACCTTGAGGGTGACCAAGAGCTGTAAGATTGGACTTACGGCCCACTCAGTAGGTGGAAACTCAGATCTGGTACTGTAAAACTAGCCAGGACTCCATGACTGGAGAAGTCATAGACCATAGAGGAGAGCCTATGACTATCATGTTGCCAAACTTAATTAATATAAATATAAATTGTCTTCTAGATATTCATCCTTCTACCCACAGATAAGTGCAGATCGTACCTCTCATCAAAGAAGCTTCTGATGAGAAGGAGATGGATTCTATTTTAGGGAACCATGACCTGTCAGAGTGTAGAAAATGAGTGCCCATGAAGTGCCTATCCACAAATGGGACATTTTTAAGACACATTCTACACCCAAGGGTTTCAGAAGAGGGGGGCAAAAATATTTTAAGGAGCAGAGGATCAGGACTTAGCTTAGCTCATGTCTTCTGGACATGAATTCTCAACAGTTTGGTTGCCTGCAAGTGACCATGTCTAGAGCAGGAGGCTACCTAATTGCTTACATCTTCAACCACGAGCATGAAGCAGAGAGGACAAACCGGGAAAACGACGAGTCTTAAAGCCTGCCTCCAGTGACACACTTGCTCCAACAAAGCCACATCTCTGAAACCTCCCAAAACAGCACCGCCACTACAGCCACTTGGGGACCAAGTGTTCAAATGCATGGGCCTACAGGGGTTGGGAAGAGGAGGAAAGGAGATATATACATTGTAGTTATATATGAAATTCTAAACAAAAAGAGATTAAGTTGTTATTATTTATTCTTGCTCTTCCTTGTGGGCTCTGAAGCTGTCAGGAAGGGTCTGGAGATGGAGGAGCTGTTGAAAAGGTTGTACAGGGGCCGGCTAGCAAACCTCGCTTCTATGGAATGGGGCGAGAGAAACTAAGTGTCTGAAGACCCCCATCTACTCTACCCGTGCCAGTAGAGTAGAGAGCTGTGACAAGGCATACTGTGGGCACAACTGGAGTCGGGAATTTTCATGGGAGTGGTATGATTTTTTTTTTTTCTGTTTTTCGAGACAGGGTTTCTCTGTGGCTTTGGAGCCTGTCCTGGCACTAGCTCTGTAGACCAGGCTGGTCTCGAACTCACAGAGATCCGCCTGCCTTTGCCTCCCGAGTGCTGGGATTAAAGGCGTGCGCCACCATCGCCCGGCAAGGTATGATTTTTTTCACAGGAGTTTACTATGTAGACCAGGCAGGGCTCAAACTCTGAGTCTTTTTCTTTTCTTTTTCTTTTTTTTTTTTTTTTTTTTTT